GCTTCCCGCCGAGCAGGGAGCCCGATGCGGGGCTCGATCCCAGGACCCTGGGATCATGACCTGAGCCGAAAGCAGACGCTTAACGACTGAGCCACGCAGGCGCCCCTCTCCTACTGTCTTATGAGAATAAATCTGTCTTCTGTTGGGGAGGGTGGTGGGTAGGTTGGGCAGCTGCTCAGCTGTGTGTATATGCAGGGTGTGGAGGAACTTGGGATTCTAACAGTTTCTTACACAGAATATAAATCTATCTTTGGGGCTTTTTTGGGGGTGCAGGGAGTTGGTGCTTCTTCTGTCCCTACTTCTAGAGGTGTCTGGTACCACCAGTTTCCAGGCCTTTGGGGAATTCTGAGGTATCAATCAGGTCGAATCTTGGATTTTTCTATTTGCTAGCTTCAGATGCAGTTCTCTTGGGTCTGCTGAGCCAGTTATTGCTACAAGTTTGATACTCTTTTCTCCTCTCCTGATCTCTTTGCTTTTACAGGTTTATATATCTTTTAGATATACCTTTAGTGTCACTCGAGTGGGATTTCAAGAAGTGAAGTACATGCATGTGTTTAATCTGTCATCTTTAACAGAATCTTTTTAAACATTAAAATAATAAAGAATCTATTTGTCATTATTCTGTTCAATGAAATTTTCCCTCTGTGAAAGAGAGAAAATAATGAGAACACAACCCTTGGTACTGCTGTTTGTTCTGGACGATGGGAGCCCATGGCGCTGGCCCATCTGCCCCACAAGGCCACAGATCCTTAGCAGCCTGGCTTTCTCAGCTAGGGCCATACTTTATTGCACTTGTGGTGTGTTTTTGAGATCATCTGTGACCTTTTGAGTTTATTTATAATTCTGCATAGATTTGCCACTTCCCTTACTGTTGGATTTGAGGAATTCTTGAAGCAGGGTGACCTCCTGTCTCAGCATACTTAACCTCAAATTTTATGATTTGGGGTTTTATTCTCCTGTTTATGCATCTCCGTCTTTCAGCCATATTTTTCTGCCAGTCATACCAGATTTTGCCCTTTTAGCTTCTGCCTTTTGCCTGAAACAATTTGACTTTTTCTGAGTTATTATTTAGTATTATTCTCAGATTGTCTTGAGAGGGGGCATAAATGGATTCATTTTTGTCTTAGGAGTCTCATGGCTTAGTGTTAACAAATTTAAGAGTTAACTGCTATTCTAGACTGAATATTAATGTCCCTTCAGAATTCACATGTTGATGACCTAAGCCCCCCAGGGGGTATGTATTTAAGACAAGGCCTCTAAGGAGATAATTAAGGTTAAATGAAGGTCATAAAGGTGGGGCCCTGATCTGATGGATTGGTGTCCTCATAAGAAGAGACTCCCCCCCCCACCGCCCCCCCACTGTGAAGCCACAGTGAGAATGTGGCCATCTACCGGAAGCTTCATCTTCAACTTCTAGCCTCCAGAACTGTAGGAAAACTAATATCTGCTGTTTAAGCCACCCAGTCTGTGGTATTTTGTTATGGTAGATACCAAAAAGCTAATATACCTGCTTTTCTTAGACTTTAGCAATCAGAGTTGTCAGTTGTCAGATGTTAGCTTATAGTTGTCATATTTGTGCAATTGACTTCCTCCATTTTAAGCCACAGTTAGAATTCTGTAGTCAGAGGAAACCAGATCTTAATTGCATTAGGGGTTAGGGAACCTACGAGCCTATAGCAAGTGACTTTTTTTTTTTAATGAAATCATTGCCATAGTTTTGTGAAAGTTGTGTTTCCAGAGCCTGTGTGTGTATGTGTGTGTACACTAGATTGAGATACAAAATATACTTATTGTAAGTTGTGGTGAAAAGGATTTCATAAGTCTGTTGCTCTAGTTTAAGCTAATTTTTTAGTCCCTGTTAGAATACCCATGGCAAGTGATGATTGGTGGAGTTTGAGGGAAAAGGTAGACCAGGACTGTGGACCCTGTGGGGTCAGACTTTGGAATCCAAAAAGGGACCTAGAGATCTAAAGTCCAAAGGGAGAGGCATAGGGAAGAGGAGAATTCGGTTATCTGTTTCACCCAGCAAGCGAAGCAGAGAGCCCCTAGGAGGACTTTTCGCATAGCGCCAAGCTCCGGGAGGGGCTGGGAGCGATTTATCACATCTTCCTCTGCATTCTGGGAGTGCCTTATGCATAACCTCACTCACTGCACACGCCATGTTATATTATAATTATTTTTAAAATATCTGTGACTGGGGGCGCCTGGGTGGCTCAGTCGTTAAGCGTCTGCCTTCAGCTCAGGTCATGGTCCCAGGGTCCTGGGATCGAGACCCGCATCGGGCTCCCTGCTCTGCGGGAAGCCTGCTTCTTCCTCTCCCTCTCCCGCTGTTTGTGTTCCCTCTCTCGCTGTGTCTCTGTGTCAAATAAATAAATAAAATCTTTAAAAAAAAAATATCTGTGACTGGGCCAAGTCCATAGTTAGCACTCCATAACTGTTAGAAGAGGGAGGAATAAAAGGTAGCCATCGTTATTGGCCTCATGTTACTGTCATCCACGGTCACGACATGTTTACTCCTCCACCAGCTGGAGCGTTACCCGATTCCAGTAAGGTGTGAGTAGTGCGCCCCTCCGTGAGTCCGCTCTGAAAACAGCACAGTCTCGTTTACAGAGCCAGTAGCAGCGGAATCACATTCTCCCTCTCAAGATGTCAGTAGAACAGGTGGAAATTTCCTTCATCGTGTGGTCTTCTAGCTTTGTTAAGAGGTAAGGAGAAGGAGGCCAGGCCCCTGTATGTCCTAAGCGCCGGCACAAATGGTACGTCAGATATATTCACAAAGCCAGCAGTATTGATGTCAGGTAGACTGGGCTGAGGAGGTCGATCCAGAAGCAGTTCTCCTATGTCATGGGCCAGGTTCAGGGGAGTGAGGTCCTGTGGCAGGTGAACTCTCATCACCTCAAGGGATTCGGGAAGACTTCCCAGAGCGAAGGGCGTTTATGAGGGAACCTGAGGCATGAGTAGGTGTTAGTCAGACAGAGGGTGTAGGATAGGAATCACATGAGAGGGCAGTTAGCTCATGAAGAGCCTCCAGGTGGAGGTTTGATATTTGCACTGCAGATTCTCAGGAATGGGTCTCTACTGTGTTGTAGAGTAGATTCTGTAGCTCAGAATCTCAGTCTGCAGAAGGTGGAAGCAGCCAAACCTGGCATCAGAAGACCCATCAGCAGGATGATGGTCGCTGAGTCCCAGAAATGAGGGCCTGTGTTAGGATCGTGTCGGGACGATAGAAATGCTGCTAACGAGGAATGCATGGGGCCTGACGTTTTTTGGATGTGAGGGGCCAGGGAGGGGTGGGGGCACCTTTGACTCTGGAGTTCTGAGGCTCAGTACCCAGGGATGACTGATTGTTTTCATGGTAGTAGAGAACATTTGAGAGCAGTCTGTCTTGGGAGGAAATGATGGGGAGATGTGGATTTTGTATCTTAGGTTAGAGTTTTCATAGAGGCCCTTGGGGCACCATTTCAAAGAATGGTCTTATTAGAAGATAATTTCTCATGATTCATAGATAAGACTAAACTTTTCCATTTATTTGGTACTTTTTTCACACTAGAAACCTCTTAGCTGTTGGGTAAAAAATCAGATGTCATTGAAATTCAGCATATTTTAATATTCTGAATCCAAGAAGCTATACATTTTCAATATTTTTCTCAGCTAGAACATGAAATTGTTATTTCACTTGGTTCATAATCAGGGTTTTTTAGAAGACAGCAGCTTAACGGAATGATTTTTCTGTCAATAAATCAGGTATCTACGTATTATATATTTACACAAATGAGTTCCAAATAGATGCTTTGAGTCAAAAGCCTTCACAGTTCAATTAGTAATTCCTTGAGAGCTTCATCAACTTATTTTCTGGTTTCTTCGTTCCTGGTCATTATTCTACAATGACTTTTGAGAAGCAGTTTTCTTAAAAGAGTACAAATTGAATTATTCCCCTTTAGTGAATTGAAATTCTTAACAAGGCTTTCCACTAATGAGGTATTGTATCCATGTTAGGTTAAACGGGCTAGTTTGAGCCATTTAGTTAGCATTTCAGAATTAGAAGTCATTGATTAAAGCTTCACTAATAACTCAAGCACAGTTTAATAATAAAATGAATCCCACTCGGTGCTGCTAACACAACCAGGAAAACTCATACCAAATAGAAAGTGGCAACAACAGGAATTAGAATTAACTCGTCCATTAACACATGATAATGCCAAAAAAATTTAATTAACCTTCTTTCAGTGATACTGCTAAAGATAAACTTGACTTGCAATTCCAGGATGAGTTCTTTATTCAGCACTTGGCTCTTCCTCATCCAGCGTAGCAGCAATCCTAGCAGTCCCAGGGGAAAAGAAACTCCCCTCTGACTGTCGTTCATTCAGCTTTGATATGGAACCATATCTGGAGCATGAAGGAATTTTCTTTAACTTGATAGGGAGAAAAGAAATTAGGCTTATCTTTGAATTTTTAAAATATTTGTTTTCCTTTTTTTTAAATGGATGTTTTTACTTTTGACCTGACTACACTTTTTCTTTCCAGTTCAAGATTGATAGCGAGTGGTGGACATGGATCGATTATAACCGCTTCCAGGAGCTCATGCAGGAATATGAAGACAGTGGCGGATCAGCAACTTTCAGCGCAAAGGATTATGTGGCGAAAACTCCTCACTGGGCATTATTTGGTGCCTGTGAAAGAGGCTTTGATCCCAAGGACACAAGATATCAGAGAAAGAACAAATCAAAGGATATTTCCGGATGTTAAGATTCATCTGACCATAGGGTACTGAAGGACAAGAACTGATGGCCCTGAAGGTTCTCACCCCCTGCTGTGATTTTTCCAAGGACACATTACACGAGTTCTATTTCATGTAGAGGGGATGCAAGTCACGTCCCGGGGTTGCTTTCCAGAGCTTAGGCCCTCTCCTGATTTGACTTCTTAGAGGACCACCGTTCCAGGGGAAGGACATGGTCCTTAGAATGGAACCGAGGGCTTTGAATTATAACTTGTGAAACTCGCTAGAATGTTGTTCCTGGGGGTGTTGTGAGGAATGAACTGGGTTCTTGGCCTTTGTGGATTGTTCCTCCCCAAGATAAGTGTATCTACTCCCTCCAGGACCTCCATCCCTTCTTTATATCTTAAGATAACACCTCCCGGGACTCATTCAAGTTGTCGTAATTCTTGATTATTTTTAAATACTGCATAGATTACATTAAATTTTTGCTTCGTACCAGCCCTTTATGAAATTGAATTGGATCTACATGTACTAGATCTCATTCCATTCTCCTACAAATCGCCATGGAAGGCCTGGGGGGCGGTGTTCGCGTCGGATCCCTCTTCCGTAGGAGGAATGCCCTGGGATGCCAAGGAGTAATTAGTCTCGCAGACAGAGTTCGAACCCCTGTACACCTTCCTCACAGAGCAGGTCCCCATCTTCTTTTCCCTCTTGTAGCCTGAGCTACTTTACACAATCTGTTTTTAGGGCTCAAGTTTTTTCTCATTGAAAACATCATTAAATACTTAATAGTTTTTAAAAATATCATAGTTATTTTTTAAAAAATTCCTTTATCCTAAAAATTTAATTAATAAAATCTCTTGTATAGGCTAGAATTTTCTTTTGAGTGTTTATTTTAAAGATGCTTCTAGTCCCGTGGTTCGAAGCCCTATCAGAATCGACCTCTTCTTTATATATCAGCTCTTTTGTAAACCTCTCTTTTCTGCTGAAGTGAAATTCCTAGATAATATAGCCTGCCTACTCACTCAGTTGAAAACTAGGCTCTATAGTTATATCTAAGTGACATGGGATGGGATGGCAAAGCATCATTGAAATCCTTTGTTCTTCTTGAACCCACCTCATCTTCAGGCTTATGTTTGGTCTCCTCCTGTTCTGGTGACTGAGACAGACAAGAGACAGGAGTGGTGCAGGCCAGTGAGGCATGATCTCATTGAAACCCAGATGGGTTAGTGTTCATTGAACAGAAATGCAAAAACACCCTAAAGTGGGATGAAGTGTTAAAAAGCAAGTGCTCGTGCTGAGGGGGGGCCGGAGACAGAACATGCAGGGCTTTGGACCATCCTCAACCTCTTTTTCAACCACAGTAAGGACTTCTGTGAACCCACTTGCCCTCTAAAACAAAGGAAATATGGGCAAAGTGACTAAAATCAATGAATTCTAGAATTTTGACATTTAACCAAATCTTCACAATGAATTGAAAATCATCTGTTAAGAGACAAATCAGTAAAATTAACTGTTGACTTCTCATCAGAAACCATGGAGGCCAGGAGACAGTGGGGTGGCGTCTTCGGAGGGCGGAAAGAAAAGGCTTTCAACCAACAATCCTTTGTCTCAATCCTCCTTCAAAAATGAGAAATGAAGACATCTCCAGGTAAAAAAAAAGTGAGAGAATTCACCTGCAAACCTGCCCCACAAGGAATACTGAAGGGAGTCCTTCAGGCTCTGATGAAAAGTACCCTAAGCACTAACTCAGAGCCACATGAAGAAGTAAAGAGCACTGGTAAAAGTAACTACATAGGTTTTATGAAAGACCGTATAATGGTAACTCCTATTGTAAAGCAGTAATTATGGCACTTTGTTGATGGACTTACAATGTGTAAAGATGTAATTTGTAGGACAGTAATAGCACAAAGGGGTATGGAGGGAACGTAGGCTTATACATTTTACATGGGTGAATTTTTTGATATATGAAATATATCTCGATAAAGCTGTAAAAAAAAAAAGCAAAGCACAAACGCTGAATGTTTATTCAAACCAATATAGCATAAGAGAAGCATCATAAATCAATGGGAATTTGGAAGAAAAAATAATTTAGTTCTGTTCTTTACACTAAATACTAGGAAGAGTCAAATGAAAAAAAAAGCTCCAAAGAAACCTTAGGTGAAAAAGGCCTTTCTTGATCAGGGTTCCCAAACTTTCTCATGCAGGAGAGTCACCTGGAGGACTTGTTAAAACACAGATTCTGGGTCCCACCCCACAGTTTCTGGTACTGTAGGTGTGCAGTGGAGAGCAGTATGTTTTCTGACACATTCGTGGTTATACAAACGCTAAGAGAGAGCACACACTTTGAGAACAACTTGTAGATATAAAACAATGTGAGAACTCATTCAGTTTCGAAAGGTCAAAAACTTTACAGAATATATTCAAGTATCTAATAATATCAAACATCACATAAACTAAAAAGACAAAATGGGAAAAATAGTTTGCATGAAATAGGATTGACTCTAAAATCTCATCGTTTCATTTTAAAAATGTTAGTAAGACTTGCCTGGTTAAATAAGCAAGGGCTAGAGAACGTAAAGTTTCATTGATGAGGAAATAGAGCTAGCTGCAAAATATGAACAGCTGTTCACTTTCAGCAAAGAAATGCTAATTTTTTTATCAAATTAGCAAAATGTCTATATCATATTAAGGTAGAATACAGTTATTGCAAAGGAGTTTGGCAGTATATCCCAAGAGCCTTTATTTTTGAAAAACTGATTTAATGAGAAAAAGAGTTTTATGCTTAAAAGTATTTATTATAGCATTTTATAATAGCAAAACTCAGGAAACCTAAATGTAAAATATCCTAGGCATTTAATATTTCTTGAAAGAATGGCGAAGTTGTATTACACCACATTGTGTAGGTAATTCATCCTTTCAACAAATGTTTATTAACCACTGATTGTGTTCTAATGGCCGAGGATTCGTTGGTAAGTTAAGGAAAAAGAGGGGAACATAATTCTTGCCATTATGATGCTGACATTCACCAAAGACAAAGATTCACACAATAAATGTTAGTCATCAAACACACTGTGGTAAGTGCTACGGAGAGGGACGGTCTCGATGTGAGTGTGTCAGTGGAGAGATTTCCTAGTCAGGGGAGATGTGCCCTGAGTGTGCTGGAACCTACAGGAGTCTGGACTCCAGAGGTGGGCTCAGGGAAGAGCGCTGCAGGTAGAGGACTGAACACGATCAAAGGCTTTGGGTCGCAGAGGGTCACGGCACATCTGAGTAGCTATAGGAAGTCCACAGTACCTGGAGGGTGCTGCAGAAGGGGTGGGAAAGGGCCAGGACACTCAGGGAAACATAATGGGTGATGACTCAGGGAGATGTAGGCCAGGCCAGGCCCTAAGAGCAATAATGCAAAGGAACACCATGATTAAATTTGCATTTTAATAAGCACTCTAGCTGTGGGATTGCAAAATGGCTTGGAAAGACCTACAGGGAGATGAGTTGGTAGGTGATCCCTGGGTGGTGGCATTTGGACAGTGCGCACCCCTCCATGCTGACCCTGATGGTGGGGATGGAGAGCAGTGGATAGATTGGAAAAAGACCTTGGAGGGTAACATAGATTTGGCCACAAATTGGTTAGTTTGGGGTGAGGGGGTAGGGAGGAGGGAAGAAATGTCCAGGATGACTCCTGATTTTCTGGTGTGCGGACAGGATGGACGATGGGGTCATTCTCCAGGCTGCTTAACCCTGGCAGAGGGCTGAGGGGACATCCTGGGTCATTTGTGGACACGTGGGCTTGACTAATGTTAAAAAGAAAATCGCAGGCCCAAAATGGTGTTACTTGGACTAGGCCAAGTCACCAAACCAGGGCTTAATCCTCAACCTAATTTCAGTTTCAACCAACCCCAGAAATGTGAAGTGTTCTCCTCTCCACTGGGAACTTTCTGGTCGGCACCAATGAGGCCCTCCCTCACAGGGCCTTCTCCATCCCCCAAAGGAAGATGAGGTAACCTGCATATAATAAGCTTCCCTGCACTTCCCCCTGAGGGAAGGTGATCTTGCCTGAAACAATCCTTTCTTTTCTTTTGCTTCTAACTTTCTTGCCCCACCCTCCTTCCTGTAAAAACCTTCCATTTTGTACAACTCCGAGGAGCTCCGTCTGTTTGCTAGATGGGATGCTGCCCAATTCATGGAGCTTCTAACAACGCCAATTAGATCTTCAAATTCACCTAGTTGAATTTTGTTTCTTAACACTTCCCAGGGGAAGGTGGAGGGAACGGTCAGGCATATGGGTCTCAGTGGGGGCAGGAGGGGGGAGGCGAAATGTGCAGATCGTTGTCTTAAGTTCTACTCAAAGCCTCAAGGAGACCTGAGGTCACCTGAGGAGACAACATAACGGGAAGAGGAGAAGGCCTGCTCGTGAAGGCCCAGCGGGGAGTGGCGGGGCCGAGAAGGAAGGGTCAGTTGACTGGGGGGGGTCAGGGGACAAACCAGCCGGTGGAGGCACAGACACTTAGGAGGGCGAATCAAGACTAGACTGGTCAACCGTGACGAGGCCAGTGAGCCGTGACCAAGGAGCATGACAAAAAACGCCCTTTGGACGGGGGTCATCCTCGTCCCGATCAACACTCTGAGTGGAGTGCTGGCCCCGAGTGGAAGGTTCCGAAGGACTTTTAACGACAAGAAGTTTATGATATAATGCTAAGTCTGAAACACAAAATACAAAATCCCGGTCATCTTAATTATGTAAAGATCATATGAAGCCACACACGACCGAATATGTATTATTTTAAGAGAATAACACAAAGGTATGAGAAAACAATGTTTTCTACTTCTTTTTGAAGTAAATTGCTAAGTTTTTTCCTTAAATCTTGAAATCGAAACCCTCCTATAGTTGGAGTTAAATATATATTCAAAACAGTGTATTTTGTTAGCAGAAAGATTAATCTTTTTCTGTTGTTCTTTTAGTGTGCTGGGTTGTTTCTCTCACTTTTTATTGAAATACAAATTGATGAGCTCTTCCTGGGGTACGATTGATTTACTACATGGTGGCAGTGACTAATCTTGCTGGCTATTGTCCCGCTTAGGGCTTTTGTCTCTTACCATTTCTTTTCTTTTTTTTTTTTCCCTTTTTTTTATTTTTTAAATTTATTTATTTATTTATTTGACAGAGAGAGACAGCGAGAGAGGGAACACAAGCAGGGGGAGTGGGAGAGGGAGAAGCAGGCTTCCCGTGGAGCAGGGAGCCCGATGTGGGGCTCGATCCCAG